GTGGAGCCTTGAGGAGTGTGGCTACCACCACTGGGTTCAGTGGCAAAGGCTCCTTCCTGGCCCAGAGCTCGCCAAGCTGCAGCAGAGCCTGGGGGAAGGGCTCAGGGACTCCACTAAAGCAGACTTGGAAGTGGGAGCTACCAGCAGAACTGGAGGGTCCCAGAGAGGGCCCCAGCCAGCCCCGAGGACCACAGTCACCAAGAAGCACACACACAGGCAGGAAAGGACAGGGACAGATAGAAATTGGTATACTCTATCCCCAACACTTGAGCTTGTCTTTGGGTCAAAGATTCTTGGCAATATCTGGAAACTCTACTCAGTGGGCCTCCACTTTCCTGTTCCTTTTCTCTCATTCTTTTAATTAACTCATTTATTATTATTTAAAATTTGACCAGAGAGAAAGGGAAAGTGAGAAAGCAAGCCACCAGGCCCGAGACTTGAACCCTGGTCAGCCATGTGGGAGTCCAGTGCCCTTAACCACCACGCCACTTGCCAGCCCCACTGCTACCTTTTTTTTTTTTTTTTTTTTGAGAGGTTTGTCCTATAGGGCGCATGTGCTCGCCAGAAAGACAGAGAGAGACATAGAGACAGAAAGTGAGAACTCCCCCCCCAGGGGGGATGGCCATGCCACAATCCCTTCTCCTCCATTCTCCTCTCGGGATCTTGGGCACGCCCGCACACGTGCCTGGGCGTGAGTTTAAGCCACCGGGTCCGGGACTCGAACTGTGGTCAGCTACGTGGGAGTCCAGCGACATAGCCATTACGCTAACTGCTGGCCTCCCCCCTCCCTTTCTGACTAGAGTGTTCCTTCCCGTCCTGCAAGCACTGAGAAGGTGGGACAGAGCCAAGAGCTTTGATACACAATTCATAATACTCTTGTGGGAAGAACAAAACGCAATACAAACCGACCTTCTGTCTGATGGGATTTAGAGGGTACAGAGCACATTTCCACGTAATCCCTCTGGATTGAGCCTCCTTGTGAAAAGACCCAGCGATGCCTCCCGTGAAAGAAGGCCCCCCATTTCCGAGAGTACAGGAAGTTCTAAGCAGAGGCACGCCAACCACCCCCAGGTGGGTAAGAGATACGGTTACGAACCCTCACATCCCATACTCTCTCCGTAGTGAAGGGCACACTGAGCTCGTGGTGCCAGCTGAGCCCTGCCGGGCTAGACTCCCAAGCTGGAAACAGAGGGCTTCTGTTGCCGGTCAATGGGAGACGAGGTAACTTGGACTGACTCTCCCACTAAGGACAACAAAAAAGCTGTACACACGTCTGAAAGGCATCGAAGAACTAACGAGATAGCAAAGAATTACGGGGTTGACGCTCCAGAGAGGACAGGAAGCCAGAGAGGCAGGCCCAGCATTGGCGCCACTTGTGCCCTGGAGGCACCTATCCCTCGGGAGGAGATGACTGAGGACGATTTGCTTCGGAAAGCGGAAAGCGCTGCAGGGTTGGGGTGAAGGTCGCGGTAGAGGTGGGACATGGGTAAGCCACTGCCTGCTTCGGGCTGTGACCCCAGAGATTGTGCTTTATGGTTAACGACAAACCACAGCAAACCAGCCCCTGCCCGGTCAGATAGGTCTGCAGCCTGGTTTCAGTGACCTGGAACCTCTCTAGCCTTGAATCTGGATTAATACGATTCCAGAATTCTAGTGTCCCAGGTCTTTGAAAGAAGCAAACAAAAAACCCTTTCTAGAGGAAGAAATCATCCTAGACTTTAAAACATCTAAATAAACAATTTTCAAATACAATGCCCAGCATGAAATAAAAAATAACAAGGCACATGTGAACACACCTCAGGGAGAACCAACAGAAATTAAAACAGATTGAACACAAGCAAAAAGTTCTAGAAAATGCCAACAGTCATTGAGTCTGGCTATTCGAACACTTTTCTCTCTTCTCTCTCCAACCCAGTTCTCATTCAGCAGTCTCTATGCCCAGTCTGCCTTCATTACTGTCTGTAGACTTAGCTAGAAAATGCACCTGCCCCTGCTTCAGCTGTGCTCAGTGGAATCAAGCCTCTGCAGTCTCTGAAGCTGCACTTTCCAGCCTCATCACCTAGGAACCCCTCCTCGCACGCAATCTCTACCAACAGCTCATTCCTGAGTATTGGACCGCTGCCTTGAATGTCCTCTTCTGAAGTTTTGCATCCTGAAAAATGCCTCCTTACTCTTCAAGGTCCAATTTAAACCTCCTCTCTTTGAAACCTTTCTGGACTCTTAACTCCAACTCTCCCAGCTTGTCTGATACTGACCCGTGGTGTTACCACAGCTGGTTTAGGAATCTTTCTCAAGTAGACTATTCACTTCTGGAGATTAAGGTCAGTTGCACTCATCGAGCAGACCTGCAGCTGGCACAGTGCTGGGCGCAAAGTGCGTGCTTAATAAGTATTTATTAAAAATAAGGGGCCTGGGGCCGGCAGGTGGTGTGGTGGCTAATGGTGCTGGACCCTCACATGACTGATTGTGGTTCGAGTCCCGGACCTGGTAGCTTGCTTTCTCACTTTCCCTCTCTCTCTCTCTCACTCTGTCCCTTTCTGGTCAAATAAAAAATAAATGAATGAAATAAAATAAAGTTAAATAATTATTTAATAATTATTTTTATTTAACTTTATTTATTTACTTCAATTCTCTGTTTCTGGTCAAGATAAAAAAATAATCACAAATGGAATTAAATAAATAATTCTTTTAAGAGAAAGAAAAGTGCATTTCTTTTCTTTTTTCTTAATTGGCAGGGGGCATATGAATTCACCAGAGACAGGGAAAATGCAACCCGCAGTAGGGCAAGGTCATGGTATAGACCCGTCTCCCCCATTTCTTCACCCCGTCAGGATTTTGGGTGTGTGCGCACGTGCATGCATGCACACACACACACACACACACACACACACACAGTGTGTATCTCAAAGCATTCGGGCCTGGGTTTGAACTGTGGGAATGGCCACATGGAATCCAGCTCCCTTAACCACTAGATTATTGGGCTGGGCCAAGAATTTTATTATTTTTTTTCATAGTTTGGTATAGGGCATGTGTGCTGCCGAGGAGAGAGAAAGTGAGAGAACACCTCCGGGGGACGGCCACACCACAATCCCTTCTCCATTCTCTTCTCGAGATTTTGGGGCACACATGCACATGTGCTTGGCATGTTTTTCAAGCTGGTGGATCTGGGACTTGAACTGTGCACTCAGCCATGTGGAATTCAGCTGCCTTAACCATCATGTCACCTGTCTGGCCAAAGTATTCTTTTTTTTTTTTTTTTTTGGAGAGGTTTTTTTTTGCTATACGGTACGTGCGGTTGCCAGACAGACAGACAGAGAGACAGAAAGCGAGAAATCACCCCCTAAGGGGGATGGCCACACTGCAATCCCTTCTCCTCCATTCTCCTCTCGGGATCTTGGGCACGCACGCACAAGCGCCTGGCGTGTTTTAAACCACCGGGTCCGGGATGCGAACCGCAGTTGACTACGTGGGAGTCCAGCGACATAGCCATTACGCTAACTGCTGGTTCCCATATTCTTATTTTTTCGATAATTTTCTTTTAAGAGAGATTTTAGCTATAGGGCACATGTGCTCACCAGAGAGACAGAGACAGAGACACAAAAAAATGATAAATCACTCCTCAGGGAGGATGGCCATACCACATTCTGTTTTCCTCCATTCTCTTCTCAGGATTTTGGACACACATGTACATGTGCCCGGCGTGTTTTAAGTCACTGGGTCCAGGACTCGAACCGCAGTCGACTAGACTATATGCGAGTCCAGTGATGTAACCATTACATCATCTGCTGGTCCCTTTTTGAGAAATTTTTGCTACAGGGTGCATGCGGTCACCGGAGAGACAAAGAGAAAGTGAGAAAGGACTCCCTGGGAAGGATGGCCATGCTGCAATCCCTTCTCCATTCTCCTCCCTGGATTCTGGACACACACACACATGCGCCTGGTGTATTTTTAAAATAGATTTTTGCCACTGGGCACGTGTGCTTGCTGGAGAGACAGAGGCAGACAGACAGATGGAAAGCATGAAACACCCCTCAGGGGTAATGAGCACACTGTGACCCCTTCTCCTCCATTCTCTTGGGGCCCTAGATACACACGTACATGCACCCAGTGAATCCCAAACTGCCGTGTCTGGCACTAGAGCAGCAGCCAGCCCACCACGAGGGAGTGGCCCCATGGCATGTGCTTCACGCCACGGGGTCTGGGACTCGAACTGCAGTCGGTCATGTGGGATCCAGCTGCCTTGAGCACATCCCACCGGCTGGCGTCCAAAAACACGTGAACACACATCTTCAATGAAGAGTGAAGAGTGAGTGGACACAATGAGTTAAAATGGGTAGCTTTTTAAAAAGTTTTATTTCAAGGACTTTGTTTTTACTGGTATTTCAAAAAAAGGTGGGTCAAAGTACAAAAAAAAAAGTCAGTTGAATCACAGCATAGATTTAGAAATCACAGCAGCAGAAGCAGTGGGCAGACAGCACAGACAAGTAACCCAGTGTATGCAGTTCGGTGCGGTTCCTTGGCTTACTTTAAGTGTTTTGTTTTGTTTTTCCCTCCTGTACAAAATACATCAAAGCATGCCATGAGATCAGAAAAAGAAGAGTTTAACAAATGCTTACGAGGAACAGACTCTGTACAAGAGCAGACAATGGCTCTTCCCCGCCCCACCCCCTCCTCTCGCTTTAGGTTAAGTTATTCTGAAGACAGTTCACCTCCAGGTCGGCCTGGTCACCTTTGCCACCCTCAAGTTTGGGCGACATGGAGTTCTGGATGTTAAATGACTCCTCTTCTTTCAGGCAGGACTTGAGGGCTTCCTGGATTTTGTGGGAAGCACCAGGATCATCCTGGAAGAGGAAGAAAGTTGGGGAAGAGGATGGGAAAGAAAGAATGGGCGAAGCCATCACACGGCCACCTCGGGCTTTTCTACCCGGCAGGCCGGAGCACAGCTGAAGAGGAGCAGAGTCCTAAGACTTGAACGAACCAAACTACCCGAAGTCACGCATTCTAGGAGAGTCATCCTTAAAAGCAATGGTGGGGGTGGGGGCCGGCAGGTGGCGTGGAGGTTAAGGGCGCTGGGCTCCCACATGGCCAACCGCGGTTCAAGTCTCAGACCTGTGGCTTGCTTTCTCACTTTCCCCCTCTCTCTCACACTCTGTCCCTCTCTGGCCAAATTAAAATAAAGTTAAATAAAAAATAATTCTTTAAAAAAAAAAAAAAGCAATGGCCGGAAATAGATGAAAATCAGACAGTTCATCAGATTGCAAATACCTTGGATTTAAGCCAGACCAGGGTTTTTTCTTGGATAGAATTGGGAAAAGACAGTCTTTTATTAGAAAGTTTTTTAGTAATGTTTTTGGTCTTTTTAATGAATTGTCAAAGGGTGCATGCATCCTCTAGAGAATGAGAGAGCGCCAGAGTTGGGGTGAAAGCATCCCCAGTGGGGCACGGTCGTGCCACAATCCCTTTTCTTCCATTTCTCCGTCTTGCTGGGATTCGGGAAGCGCATGCACACATGCTTGGTGTGTTGGTTGTCTGGGCCAGGATTGGAACTGTGGTCAGCCATGTGGGATCTGGCTTATTTCGCCGCCAGTCCACGGGGTGGCTGGCCTGCAGGCTCACACATGGACGACCTCTGCGTGGCCTGCTGGACCCCATTTCCCGGGCCATCCATTCTGTTGAGCCTTGCTTTCCCAAACAGCTTCGTTGGGGCCACTCTGGCCAGTGTACAGGGCAGAGGCACAGGACCACCGGCAGGGGCAGAGCTGTGGCTGGCAAAGTTAGGGGCCCTCACTGCACAGCACATGTGCCTCTGACTAGCGGCCAAAGATGCGTGAACCTCTTACTGTCAGAACCACAGCTGTCAAAAGACACTAACTGAAGAGGAGGCATGTCCTCTCAGCCAAACAAGTGTGGCCAGCCATCCTCTGCATCAGATGACGTTTGTGCGCTGGCTGGTGTGCAACCCGCTTCGGACGTGCAGCCCAGCCCCCCTGCCCATCCGCGCACGCAGCCTGCAGCGCCGTGACCGGCTGTGGGACGTGGATTGAGCTTGCTGTTGGGGTTTCAGGAGCCCGCACCTGCGCACAGTCCTCCACGCCCGTATTTTGGGCACTCAGAACCTTCAAGGCCGTCCCACCTGGCCCTGCTCCTTGCCGGCCTCCTGCGGGGATACCCCGGAGTGGGTCAGCAGGTCTCAGTCCCTCCTCCAGCACCCTAAGCAACTGATTAAGTGCTTGGCGCTCTGCTTTCAAAGAGGCCATGGGGGACCAGCAGTTAGCGTAATGGCTATGTCACTGGATTCCCATGTAGTCGACTGTGGTTCGAGTCCCGGACCTGGTGGCTTAAACTCAAGCCAGGCGTGTGTGTGTTCCTGCCCAAGATCCCGAGAGGAGAATGGAGAATGGAGAAGGGATTGTGGTGTGGCCATCCACCCAGGGGGTGATTTCTCGCTTTCTGTCTCTCTGGTGAGCCCGTGCGCCAAAAAACACCACAAAAAAAAAAAAAAAAAAAAAAAAAAAAGCGGCCACGGGACGCTGTAGGCAGCTTCTGGGGTTACGGCAGAAGGGCAGAGAATTGTCTGAACCAGGCCAGCAGGTGGTATGGTGGTTAAGGCGCTGGACACTCCCACATGGCCGACCACAGTTCGAGTCCCGGATCTGGTGGCTTGCTTTCTCACTTTCTCTCTCTCTCTCTCTCTCTGGTCAAATTAAAAAATAAATGAGTGGATAAATAAATAAATAATAATAAAAAAGTAAATAAATAAACAAACAAACATCATGCTGGGGACCAGGACATTTTGTACAAAACTGTCCGAGCTGCCAGCTCCTGAGTGAGAGCCACAGCCCAGGGCCGCGATGGGTGGAGACGGGGAAGGGGAAGCGGAAGGGAAAGACTCCGGCGCCAGGCACGCGCGTGTTCAAAGTTGTGTGTGTAGACGTCACTGTCACCTGCTGCTGCCCCTCCCCCCCAGTGCTTTTCAGGAGGCGGGGACCAAGCAGACTCAGTGGAGCTTCAGAGACGCGGACGGGGCACACGAGGGGTGACACACGCTCCCATCTCCAACGACACGAGGAAAGAGGAACGGACCTCGCAGGACGGGGCGGACCTGGTGAGGCGGCTGCACTGCGTGCCTGGGCACCTGACCCCGTCGGTCCCTGAGCCAAGGCAGAGTCCGTGAGGTCATGTGGCCTGTGCATGCCTGAGGGGGTCTCCGGAACACAGTAAGTGAAAACAGTAGAAGACAACACGTGTGTGGCAAGACCCCATCACAAATATTTGCTATAAGGCACGTGTGTTCCCTGGGTGTGTGGGGGAGAGAGAGGGAAGGAGGGAAAGTGAGAAGTCACCCCGGGGGCATGGCCACGCCTAATCCCTTCTCCATTCTCCTGACAGGACTCCGGACGCACGTGTGCACATGGGCCTTGTATGTTTTCAAGCTGCGGGGCCTGGGACTAGAACCATGCGTTTAACCGAGCTCTGTGGGGTCTGGCTGCCTCAACCACCAAGCCACCTGCTGGCCCACAGAGTCCCTTTGTTTTTCCTCAGAGATTTTTGCCTTAGGGCATGTGTGCTTGCATGGGAGAGGGGCAGGGGAGTGGGGATAGAGAGTGAGCGATCACCTCCCAGGGGGATGGCAATGCCACAATCCCTTCTCCTCCATTCTCCTCTCAGCATCTTGGGGGCGCACGTGCGTACACACGCACACGCATCTGGTGTGATTTTCAAGCCTTTGGATCTGGGACTGGAACCTTGGTTGGCCATGTAGGAGTTCAGCGACGTAACTGCTCCGCCATCTGCTGGTTCCTTCGGGTACTTATCTTAATGCCAGCTAGTCAGTGAATTATTTTCCATTTTCAAGTTTCTCTATTTTGAAATATCTTGCTATAGGTCATGTGTGCTCGCTGGAGAGACAGAAAGAGGTATCACTCCTCCAGGCTCGGCCATATGGGGAAAAGCACTGGGGGCACCGTGGCAAAGTCCTAGAATAAACTGAAACCCCAGAGGCCTGCCTGACCTGAGGACCTGGGTCATCCGCCACGTTTCCTCTGCAGCCTGGCTGCAGGATCCCGGGGCGGGCAGTGGTCAGTAGAATGCCCGCGGGTCTCAGGTGACCTCACGCATGCGGTGCACCTGGAGGGCATCCAGCCTCCACAGCCCTCCCTGCTCCTGACGTTCCCGGCCCGGGCTGGCCGGTCAGCCACACGAGGCTCCTGCACAGACCCCGCCATGGTGCCGTCAGCTCTGGGGGCCCAGTGGGCGCCATGGTGGGGAGGAGGGCCAGTGACACCCGTACCTGCACTGACCCTTCCCACCACAGAGCCAAGGGCAGACTGTCTGGTCTGACGGCCGTTCAGAGAGGGCTGGCAGAGGCCACGGAGGCGGGGGAGGGCTACCTTACAGAAAAGGAACGAGCCCGCCATGAAAAGAGACAGGACCGGGGCCAGCAGGTGGCATGGCGGTTAGGACAGCTGGATCCCACATGGCCGAGTCTGGTTTGAATCCTGGACCTGGAAGCTTGAAAATCAGGCCAGGCTCATGTCCATGTACAGCTAAGATCCCAAGAGGAGGATGAGGGAGAAGGGATCCTCAGGGGTTTCTCACTTTCTCTGTGGCACATACACACGACCCATAGCAAAAACTAGAACAAAAACAAAAACACCAGAATTTCCAAAAATTTTGGAACCACCAATGCCAATGAGGGATCTGAGGGAAGGAGAGGGACAGGGAGGGGCTGACAGCACGCTGGACACTGACACTGGTACCGCAGCCACAAGCCTGCCCCACCTCACGACAGAGAGGCAGCGTGTCACCAGGCCAAGCCCGAAGGAGAGCGGGAGCCAGCAGTGTCTCCCTGCGGGGTGGGAGCGTCGTCCCCATGCTCGGTGCCAAAAGAGAGGCCAATGGCTCCTCTGGGCACAGGCTGAGGGGAGGCCTCTGGTGGGAGATGACCCTAAGAGCCAAGTGGAAGGCCAGACCGTAGCGGGGCTGCCTCGCGAGGGAAAGTGCTGGTTCGTGTCTGGACACCTCCCTGAGTACCGAGGGCACGATGTGGGGCCGGCTGAGGCTAGGAGTGGATCGCAGCGTGGGGAGCCCACCTCTGTCTCCTTTCTCTCTCAGGAGTGACTGTGGTCTAGGTCGGTGTTGGCCAACACGGCTGCACCCCCGACCACCAGCTTGGCAAGCACTGCAGAGCCGCGTGGCTGGAGGCCGCACAGTGCACACGCACACGCACAGCGCTGCCCTAGGCTGAAGGTCCTGCGAGCTCCGATGCTGTGGCCTATCATTTCAAAGAGCGTCTTCAGAAATGCCTCTTAAACCCCACTGTCTCGCCTGGAGAGTCCCTGCTGAGCTTCCTGTGACCGCGGGGCTGGCTGGGGCACGGTTCTGGGATTGAGGTGTGACACGACTGGGGACTTGGAATGGTCTGTTTTATTTCAGCATTCTCTCTGCCCGTATAACTACTGCACTGGCCAGCCTGGCCCCGGCTCCAATGCACTGGGCCAGGGTCTTCAGAAGACGGCCTGCTGGACCTCCTACAGCGTCTGGCCGGTACGTACGAGCCCGTCCTCCTGAGAACACAATCCTTCTACACTTACGGTTCCGGCAGTATTTGGAGCTCACCGCGGCCCAAACCAGCTGTGTCTAAGCTTGCCAGTTTTAGGGTCCTCGAACAGCACGTGGGACCCAGAGGATTCTGTCCACCCCACAGAGCAAGGACCACTGGCTTCACTGACCACCAGGAGGGTCCCCAGCAACGAAAGCTTCCGTGGAGGTAAAAGGCAAGCGTCGGCTGTCTAAGGCTTAAACGAGGCTAAAGACCAGCCGCTGCCCCAGGGACAGGTCTTCTCCACCACCCCTGACCCCACTCATCAAAGTGGCACCTCGCCGAGCGCCCACTGGCAGCCCCGGCCGACTGCAGAGGTCTCTGGAGGTCTTACTGTGAGACAGCAGAGATGGGGTGGGACTGAGTGTGTCAGGGTAGATGTGAAGACCAGCCACCGGACAGACATGAGCACAGGCGTGAGCGGGGCGGGGGTGACAGGGAGTGTCACAGGGGCTCCTTACGTTTGGGTGGGAGCCCTCGGCGATGGTGGAGAGGGAGAAGTTGTCATTGTGGAGCTCTGACGGGGTCCGGAATTTGCTGGTTAGGAAGGAGAGAGAAGAGAAATCGTAAGAGAATGGATTGTGGCAAAGTGGGACAGCGACGTGTCAGCGCCAGGGTCGGACACCGGGACTGCAGGAAAAAACCGCCGCCACTCAAGTTCTGACCCTCCCTTGTCACTGAGGGGTTTTACTGGATACCTGATGTAGCTCGTGAGACCTTAATGAAGAACTGAAGGCGACGTGCAGCTAGGACCACGGCTGCAGTATCTGCAGAGCACGGGAGCAGTCACCAGGCCCGGGAAGAGGTGTGCAGAGCTCCAGGGCAGGGGGCCGCAGCGCTCGCCCCTCTGTTCCCTGAGAAGTTGCTCCTCCTCTTCTCCTCCCCCTCAGCTGCCCGATCCAGGCTCCCCTCTCCTCCCTCCCATCCTGGGTAGGCAGGAGCCAAGGTCCTGGCTGTGCCCTCCAGCGATCACGTGCAGACAGGGCCCCCGCCTCGCTGCACAGGCACAATGGAGGGGCCCCGCAGCCCACGGCGGTTAGCCCACGCCGCGCAGTGTGGGCCGCCCGAACGTTACACGGTCTACCCAGCAAAGGGCCAACAGATGGCGTTTTGTCCTCTCCCAGGACCCTCCTCTAGAGGGGTCTGAGGTCAGGGGAGGAAGATTAATGGGCAAGGGGAGAGGGGCCGGTTCTGCATAAATTGTCTCTCGGGTGTCTCCTCTTTTATGACTCCTGGACGCTCCAGAGGGCTTTCCACTTGGCTTAGTGATAACACTGGGCCTCTCACGGGGTGAGGCCACGACCAGGTGTGGATTCTCGCACAGGCCACCGCCCTGCTAGGGAAGGCTGAAGGGATCTCTGAGGGGCTTCGCAAATTTCATGGAAGAATGGAATTAAAGTTTATTTTGGTGCAAAAAAACAGTTTTTTTCTTCAGGTTTTTGCCATAGAGTACATGTGCCTGCCGGGGGACAGAAAGACAGGCACACAATGAGAGAGAAAGTGAGGGATCACCCCCAGAGGGAATGGCCGCACTGCAGTCCCCTCTCCTCCATTTTCTTCCTGGGATTTGGGGCATGCATACACACGTGCCTGGCATGTTTCAAGCCACCAGGTCTAGGACTCGAACCATGGTCAGCCATGTGGCAGTCCAGTGCCTTAACCACCGTGCCACCTGCTGGCCCCAAATTTTTTTTTTTAATAAAAAAATTTTTTTTAGGTTTATGCCGTAGGGTGTGTGAGTTTGCTGGAGGGAAATGGAGAGAGAAGAAAAGTGAGAAATCACCCCCCAGAGGGGATGGCCATACCACAGTCCCTTTCTTCCCTTGTCTTCTCAGGATTTTGGGAATGCACACACACGCACCCCAACCCTCATCTCAACAGCCTGAGCCCACAATTGTCTGGAGGACTGATCACCCCGAATCCACACGGACCTCATATATGTGAAAGTGGGGGTGGTGTCCTGGCCCCATCGTGTGATTTTTCAAGCCAGTGGGTTCAGGACTTGAATCATGGTCAGTCATGTGGGAGCCCAGTGCCCTAACTACTATGTCACCTCTGGCCCTGCAGAAGTACTTTTAAACCTGTGCATAGTTTTTTTTTTTTTTTGGGAGAGATTTTCACTGTAGGGTGCGTGCGCTCGCCAGACAGACAGAGAGAGACATAGAGACAGAAAGCGAGAAATCACCCCCCAGGGGGATGGTCACGCCGCAATCCCTTCTCCTCCATTCTCCTCTCGGGATCTTGGGCACACACGCACACGCGCACGGCGTGAGTTTTAAGCCACCGGGTCCGGGACCCGAACCGCGGTCAACTACGTGGGAGTCCAGAGACATAGCCATTACACTAACTGCTGGTTCCCTGCATAGTTTTTCATAATATGCTTTTCTTATCACTGCCAGAGGGTTTATATACTCCAGAGAGCGAGCGAAGGAGACAGAAAGCACCTCTACCCTGTTGGGACTCTGGGCACACATGCACAAGCCTGGGCTTGCTTTTCAAGCCTCTGGAGCTGGGATCAAAGCTGTGGTCAGTTATGTGGAGTTTGGGGCAGCCCTGTGGCCCTTCTGTAGACCCTTCGCATGTCCCCTCGTAAAGGCCACAGCAGGTAACAGGGCTCCCTCAGTTCCCTGCACTTTGTCTGGACCAGGCGCTGGCCAGCCTACTGAACGCAGCCGGCTATGGGGCTGAGCTGGCGCCAGACAGCAGGTTTGAGGGCAACAGAGCTCCTGGACGCTGACCCGCGGAGAACCCGCCACAGCAGCGCTCCTGTCCGAGACCGGGAGCAGGTTAAGACCAGCACAGTGCCGAGCTGGGTGCCTGCTTTGTGAACACCTGCTCCCAGGGGCAGGGGCTGGGCATGGTGCCGGGCAGCTGGGGTGCCGTGGGGTGTGGCCACCGTGCCGCCATTCCAGCACATTCTAGGCAGGAATAAATGCGCCAAGGTGAACCTGCAGCAGCCAGGGGCGGGCGCTCCCACACAGGGCTGGGGGCCCCAGACTCACCTGGTCCTCCGCAGCTTGGTGTTCTCTGTCTTGAGCAGGTAGAGCCTCTTGGCGAAGAACACGGTCATCATGAACAGCAGCAGCAGTACAAGGGCGGCCGCGCCCACGGCCACGCACATCACCTGGAAGTCCGTGATGACGGACTCACAGCGCATGCCCTTGTGCCAGATGTAGTCCTGCGTGTTGCACCTGCAGCGGCGACAGGGTGAGGCCCGGGCCTGGGAGCACTGCGGCGAGGGCCTGGGACCCGACCTAGGCTCATCTCAGCAGCCTGAGCCCACGACCGTCTGGAGGGACTGGCCCCCCAAATCTGCATAGACCTCATACACGTGAAGGTGGGGTGTCCTGGCCCCATTGTCACGGTCATTCTGCACAGCAGGTCAGGCAGCTCTGGGGTCCACCATGTCAAGGGTGACCCGTGAGCAGAGACTCTGCGTGAACTGCTTCAAGTTCCATGGCTGGGAAGTGACCGAGACTGTGAGCCTCTGTGAGGACAGTGACAGTGTCTCGTCCGCCCTCCCTGCCCTGGGAGCTGGTGGGAAGATGCAGACGGGGTGGGAGCAGTGGTTACCAAGTACCCGGCCTGCCCTGTGCGTGACAGTTAACCTTGCCGCTCTGCAGCCCCATCTGGCTCGCGTGGCTATAAGGGAGTGACATACAGGACATGCATGCACAGGGAGGTCCCCCACCTCTGCGGCACCCAGAAGTCTGCCCAAAGCGGCCGGCCTTTGACCATGAGAACTGTCACTGAGCATTGTGAGAATCAACCCTCTGGGTGGGTCTCAGTCCTTTTGTTGAGTGACTTTCTCCTGCCCTTGGGGACATTCCCAGGCTCCAACTCTTCCAATGACATTGCCGTTTCCATGGGAACCAGACTGCTTCAAAGAGGAAAGATGTGGAAGGATACAGAGGCAGGCAGAGGAGGGAGGACCCGGACCTGGGGTGAGTGACAGGCAAGAGGCAGGGGTCCAGGGCAGGGGAATTCCGCACGGAGTGCACACCCAACGGGCAGGGAGGTGCGACTGAGGAGGAGTCCCCATTCTGCAGCTGCACCCCCACCGTGGGGGAGCTCTGTCAGGTTGGCAGGGAATGCAGTTCCTCCAACCCAGTGATCTAGAGAGGTTCTTCCCAGCGCCGGCTGCTGCCCTGCAGGGGTCTGGGTGGTGGGGACAAAGGCGCGCAACCTCCAGCCTGTCCCGACAGGACTCGGGGTGGGCATGAGTGGGATCCTGGGAGGAACCGCTGTGGCCAGGTGGAGAAGCCCTTCTGGGGCAGCGAAAGTCTGGAGGGCCCGTGGGCAGCAGAGCCACGTAGCCCACCGAGGCGCCGAGAGCGTTCCCAGCTCTCCAGAGGCCACAGGGGCCCCCTGCACTCTGGTGAGGGGACTCTGGAGGTGGACGTCAGGCCTCTGCTAAGACAAAGAGCACGGCCTGCAGGTCCCCCTGGCCGCAGGGGCCTCGCCACTGCAGCCTCCAGCTGGGGGCTGAGGGCAAATCACAGGGCCCCCCACATTCCTGGTGGCTCTTCACCGCCGGTGGAGCTTATCACTGACATTTTTTTTTGAAAGATTTCTGCTATAGGGCACACACTCTTGCTGGAGAGACAGAGACAGAGAGAAAGCGAGAAATCACCCCGGGGGGGATGGCCACACTGCAATCCCTTCTCCATTCTCCTCTCAGGTTTTTGGGCAGGCACACCGATGTGAGTGTCAAGCCACTGAGTCTGGGACTAGAGCTGTGGTCAGCCGCGTGGAGTCCAGCTGCCTTAACCACCGCGCCACCTGCTGGCCCTCGCCATCATTGCTCAATCACACTTTGCTTTCTACCTGTTACTCTATCAGACCCGCAAGACTGAGGCGCTTCCTTTCACATACCCCGCGTGGAGAATGACACTTTACTAAGAGACACTCAGATAACAAAAGTCATCCTAGGACCAAAGGAGACAAGTCTCGCGGCTTGTCTAGGGCCTGGGACTTGGGATCCTTCCAGACTGAGCGCTGCGGCCGGGGCAGCCCCTCCCTGCAGAGCAGTCCCCAAGAGTGAGGAGAACAGGGTAATTACTGACGAGGGGCGTGGGGTGGTGGCTGCAGATGAGGTCCTTACGGAAACTATAAGGGCTGTATTTTTAACATCACAGATGGGTACCCCAAGAAAGACAAACATCACGGCAGAGAGGGAGAAAGCCACCCCCGAAGTCAACCCCAGGGGAGACCTACGCCAGTGGCTGCTTTCTGGGTGTGCCCATGCGCCCTCCAGAGAGGTCAGGCCGTCCCGCCGCGTGCAGGGCTCGGGAGGCTGGAGGCAGTGCCCGGCGGCCATCTCTCCTCCACTGCTCCCGCAGACCAGCAAAGGCCTCTGTCCAAAACCCTAAGATCCACTCACTTGGCCTTTCCGATGGGACGGTTTGGTCAAGACCACCACACCAAGAGGAAATTCAAAAGCTAGTCCTGGAGGAAGCTGGCTGCTGATGCGACCACAGGAAATGTGTCCTAGAAGCTGTTGCGCGGAAGAAAGCTGGGCAAACCCTACCTCGCTGGGGAGCCCGAGATTGCACGATCTCTGTGGAGGGTGGGCCTGCCTCACACCTACAAGCCCGTGCACCTGCCCGCCACACCCTTACCTGCAGAAGGCCCCTATGTTCTCCACCAGGTAGCACTGGCCGCCGTTGTGGCAGTAACTCGGGAAGAGGTCACACACTGACCGGCAGGAGCCGTTCTGGCGCACAAAGCCACTCCGGCACTCGGTGCCATTTTCACTGGAGGCCAGGTCCTTGCCTGGCTCCCCGGGGCGGGGCCTGAGGGCAATGCTGCTGCCAGGGACCATGCCCAGAGTGTGCTGTGGAGGGACGGCGTGCCACCGGCTGGTGGGCCGGCCACCTGGCCCCGGCCCCGCCTTCTCCGTGGGCACCAGAAGGTCGTTTTCATCTTCTAGGTCTCGGCCCCCCAGTGCGTCCTTGTCGTCCTCTTCCTCTTCTTCTTCCTCCAAGTCGTCGTAGAAGGACGTGGTGGGGTAGAAATCAGACTCGTCGAAGGGGGTGAAGTCATCGTACAAGTCCAGCAGGCTCCAGGAAGGGGTCTCTCCCCCATGGTCAGGGTGGCTCTGCGAGGCTCCTGGTGACCCCGGGAAGCTGCCCAGGTCTGCACCACGACCCTCACCATCCAATCCTTCGAAGTAGTCAATATCGATTATATCGGACGCGGGTCGGGGCTCCAGAGTGCCCTGAAAAGGGTCAGTTGGCTCTGGCCCTTGAGGGTCGGGGGTGCTGCCCCCCAGGTTCAGCCAAATGTCCAGGGGACTCTCCTTTGGGAGTTCAGGGCCTGAGCCCGGCTTGTCACCAGGGGTTGGGGAGGGCGGGCCGGTGGCCTCTGAGGCCTCAGGGGTGGTGGGGGGCACTGATGCTTGCCCAGTGGCCTCGATGGGAGCCTGGAGCGTAGCAGGCAGGGCCTGGGCGTCACCGCTGCCTGCATCTGCAGTCCCTCCGCCCAGGCCTGGGCTGTCGGCCTCCAGCCAGGCGGTGCCGGTCACCGCAGCCGACGCCTCCAGCGCCTCCTCGGGCCCGACCCCT